CAGCACAGGGTTTGCATCAGCCCCTGGCAGGACCACCCATGCACAGGGACATGTGTGGGGTGGCCGGGCACACACATGGGTCCCCCCTGGGGATGCTGAGCACAGCCCTGCTCACCGGAGCCAGGGAAGGACTGAGGCATCCCTCACCTTGATGCTGCAGAGCCGATGGGTCTCGCCCAGCCCAGTGGAGACCTGCAAGGTAAAGAGAGCAGTGACCATCCTCCTCCCCACCCCTAAGCCCTCCGTGACAGCTAATACTAAACCCACTTGTTCCCCAGGTTTGGTTTTTGGGTGGGTTTTTTCCAGCTGGGTTTATCCGGGCTGCACACACCGCTTCCAGCCACGTCCCTCAAGCCAAGCCCATTGCAGTGCCCATGCTTCTGGCGGGACATCCCACCAATGTCCAACGCCAGGAACCTGTCACCTGATGATGTTATCCAGATCGTAGTTGGTTTGAGTATTGATTAAAAAGGCAATTATCTAAATCCCCACACAAGTTCGGGGGTGAACAAGAGGTTTCCAAGGACCGCGATGGCCCGGGCAGTGGGAGCAGGCATGGGGAACCTCTGCTCAACAGGGGACAGATAAGAGCAAAAGAGGGACAGGGAGAGAAACTCATTAAAAGTGATGCATGCAAATTCATTATCTGCAAGGACTCCAGCCCAGGCAGAATCAATATCCTGAGAGCTTTTCATGTTGGGGGATAAAAGCTGCTAACTATGGCTTTCAGCATCCTGGCATTGCCACGATTTACATCTGAGAAGTTTCTTTTAAAAAGAGCTTTTCAATGAGCTTTGGCCCATTTGGGATGGAAGCGATGCTTCCCCTCGTTTCTCCAGGCTGGTCCTCCAGCCGCTGCTGTGCTGATGAGAGCAGAGACCCCCCCTCCCCACCCTCAGGCACCAGGGGCTCTGCCTCTGCACCCCAGGGAGCGTGGGGGACTCGGCGGCACTGGGCAAGGGTGGGAGATGGTGCTCCCCCCCCCCGCCGGCAGGTCCTCCTCTCCTGGGGCAGCAGCACTGGTGGCTTTGTACGACATCAGCTGAACAGCTCCGTCCCTGCCGGTGGCCACAGACCCCCCTTCCAAGTCAGCCCTGCTGCAGAGACCTTCCTGGAAGCCAAAGGCCAAGGCATCACTGACTGTGATGCTCGCAGGCATCTGATGCCCCATCCATCAGGGTCATACAGCCTCGGCAGAGGGGTGGGACACGAAATCCTCCAAGGCCGCACAAGCACCTTGCAGGGGAGGCACACCACAAGAGATAGCCCCAGCACCCAGCATGGGTGCTGAAAACTGGGGAGACCCTGGCGGGAGCCACTCAGCAGACAGCATCCATCCTGGACCAGTCGACACTTCTTCGCTTTTTTGGAGCTGGCCAGGGACAGACCGTACGGCAGAGCCCTCTGCACATGCCAGACAAGGACATCAGCTTGAGGAACCCATGGGCACACTGGGGGGTCCTCAGCCTGGCAAAGCCATCACCCTTCCTGCTCGGGGGGTGCAATGGGGAGTCCTCACCCCCTCCTTGCAAACGGCTGCCAACCAGCCCTCTGCGTTTGCTGAAAGTTGAGCCCCATCGGCACCAACCTGTGCCCAGCACTGGAATCTCTTCTCTCTCAGGCTCCTGCTGAGTGGTTTTGGCTCCGGGCTGGGTGATTCGGGCTGCTGGAAGTATTCGTATAGCTTGTTGGTCCACTGGCCCAGCGACCTGATGTGCAGCCAGAGGGTCTCTGCGGGATGAAGCGGAGCAGTGGATGGGCATCGTACGTAAGGAACTGCCCTGCAGCCCCAGCACTGCAGGCTGTGTACAGCACAGCTCTGGCCCCAGGGACCCGGCAGCAATCCCCGCTGACGGCCTTCACATCAGCCCCGGGCTTGCAGCAGGGGACTGGGTTTGCTCTAACAGCTGGGTGAAGCCCAAATGCCAAACCTTGGGCACCCGTGGAGCTGGGCAGGGCATTCGGATGCCATTTGGTCACTATGCCTTGGTTGAAATAACCCAAGCACATGTTTTTATACAACACTTATGTACAGGCAGAGGTGGAGGCAGGTGAGTTGAGGTATGTGTGAACACACGCTGCTCTGCTCCATGGGCATGGACACCTCCTTGCACGACCCTCAGAGGGGATCCAGCTGCCCTGATGGGGCTTTGTGTGATGCAAAACAACATCCTGGTGATGCAAAACATCCCCGTGATGCAAAATGGGTGAATGATCGGTGATCACCTTGCTGCTCGGGAGCACTGCTGATGGTGAAAGGGTGCCACTCATAGGTGGCAATGGCCGGGATGTTCAGGTAGACGTAGTCGCCAGGCTTGTAGTGGAAAAACTGCGGTCTCTCAATCACAAGGTGAGTCACCTGGAGGAAAAAGGAGGACCAGAGAATCTGGGAGAATCCAGCTGGCACATCACACTGGTCGGTCTCTGCCAGGGTGGTCTCCCTGCAGCCCACAAGCACCCAGGTATGTGCCTCCCATTTTAAAAAGCAGCCAACATGAGACGGACTTACAGCTTCGACCTGAGAAAGGGGTTTGTTCTCCTACTCGCTGCCCACTTCACTATCAAACAAAAATCTCAGTTAGGGCTGGCGTCGAACAACAATTTTTTTGAAGAAACTAGGAGTCAAAGCAGTTTTCATTTTGTCTTCTGTTGTTCTGTGAGTTTAGGGTTTTTTACTTGAAAAATAGGCAAAATTCTAAATTTAAAAATAAATGCTTGAAAACAAAAAAATTGCTTTCACCTTTTGCTGCAAGCATTCACCAACGCAGCCCGAAGCAACCCAAACCCACATCTTTTCAATACAAACTATACATTGCGCCCTGTCCCTCCCGCGCATGGCTGGGGGAGCATCCCCCTTCCAGCTCGCTGTGCAACACATTGGGGCCAACATCCCCTTCCATGTCCCACTGTCCCTCCTTT